TATATTATTATTATTATTTATATTTATATTATATTTATTATTATATATATAGGAATTTATACTCTTAATAAATATATAAAATATTCCCCTCCTATACCAATCATGTGTATCTCTTATACCCCCTGTACTATAAAAAAAAACAGGTATACCTTTTTTATGTATTTCTTCTTGTTGTATAAAAGAAAAGGAGTAATTAATTATATTAATTGCCTCTATTAATAAATTATTTATTAATTTATTTGCTTCTTCTTTTATATAATTATATTTATCTTTATTATTTATATTTATATTTATATTATTATTATTATTATTATTATTATTATTATTTATTTTATTTATATATTCATCTATTATTCTTCTTAAGGATTTATGCTTCTTTCCTTCCTTAATAAAATATAATTTATTTATATTTATTTTTCTTCCTTTTTTATAACAACTTTCTCCGTATACACCGTATACAGATACACGTGTACCTGTACTACCTCCATCTATTACTAATATAGGGAAAGGAGACACATGGCATGCTCTTATCTCCATTGCTAATTCTGTTAACTCTGATGGCTCCTCTGTACACACACACACACATTAACCCTAAACCCTAAACCCTAAACCCTAAACCCTAAACCCTAAACCCTAAACCCTAAACCCTAATTTTTAAACAATATATTTTTTTGTTAAGAATAGATTATATATAAATAATAGTTAATAAAAAACAATATATATAATAATTAATAATTAATAATAAATAAACAACAATACAAATAATAAGGAAGAAGGAAAGGAAAAGGAAAAGGAAAAGGAATAAAAAAAGAGAAGAAAGGAGACAAAAAGAATAAAACAGAAGAAAAGAGACAATAAAAGAATAAAAAAGGAATAAAGGAGACAAAAGAAAGAAGAAAAGGAGACAAATAAATAAATAAATAAATAAATAAATATATTTATTTACCTATAGCAGAAGGAGACATACACTCTTCCTTAGCAGCAAAATGATGACGAGAGGAGAGGGCAGAAGCAAATCTTAATAACTTGTCTCCCTCGAGTTGCTGCTGCTGCTGCTGCTGCTGTGGTTGCTGTAACTCCTCCTCTTGTTGCTGCAGTCTGCTGTCTTCGTCAGCAGCAGCAGCAGCAGCAGCTGCTGCTGCTGCTACATGCGATTCATCCTCGCTAAGGGGGAAGTCCTTATTATTTAGTGCAGCAGCAATACTACGGAGACGGTAAGGAGGGACACTTAGCTGCAGCGCGAAGGAGACAGAGTCTTGCTGCTGCTGCAGCGGCAGCAGCAGCAGCAGCAGCAACAGCAGAAGGGGCTGCTGCAGCAGCTGCTGCAGCAGGCATATAATGCCCTTCATAGTAAGAAGAGAAAGAAAGAAAAAAAGAAGAAGGAAGGAAGGCCTTATACATACATCTGTCTGCAGCCTCTCTTTGCTGCTGCTGCTGCTGCTGCTGTTGCTGCTGCTGCTGTTGCTGCTGCTGTTGCAGCAGAGACGCTAGAAAAGAAGATAAAAAGAAAGAAGATCTTCAATACTGCTGCTCAGGTGTACATACACCGCAACTGCAGCAGCAAGCTGCCTAGACAGCTAATAGACAAGAAAGAAGGAGACAGGAGACAGCAAGAGGAATAGGTGCCTATACACCCCAATTGCTGCTGCTAATAAAGAAATATCTTTATTATTGTTTATAGCAATCAATAAATATAATAAAAAGAAAGAAGAAAGTCAATAATGTGCTGCTCACTAGCTGCAGCAGCAGCAGCAGCAGCAGCAGCAGCGGCAGCAGCAGCAGCAACAGCAGCAGCAGCAGCAGCAGGATAAAAAAAGAGACAGCTGCTGCAGCAAAGAGACAGATATATAAGATAAAAAGATAAACAATAAATAAAAAAGAGACAATTTGTTTATATTTTATTTATTTATAATATAAAAGAGACAAAAGGAGACAAAAAGGAGACAAAAAGGAGACAAAAGGAGACACAAGGAATACTCAATGATCGGCCTATGTACAGCTGTTGTCCGCTAGAGAAGGGTTTAGGGTTTAGGGTTTGGGGTTTAGGGTTTATTATATTTTATTTTATTATTTATTTGTACTTTTATACACTTCTTATTCATATAAATAATATTTTTTAAGGTTTAGGGTTTAGGGTTTAGGGTTTAGGGTTTAGGGTTTAGGGTTTAGACAGACCGCTGGTCGGGTCGACAGATTCGTCTTCGTCTTCCTTCTTTATTTTTTTGTCTTTTTTTTCTTCTTTTTTTTAATTAATTAATTAATTTATTTTATTTTATATTTTTATTTATTTTATTTTATTTATAATTATAATTAAATATATTCCTTTCTTCTCCCTGCTGCTGCATGCGATGTATCCGTGCTGCTGCTGCTGCTGCTGCTGCTGCTGCCGCTGCAGCAGCAGCAGCAAGGCCTTCTTCTCCCATACTTCGGGTGTATATGCAACTCCAATAGATGCAGCAAGATCTTTTTTTTATTTAATAAATAATATAAATAATAAATATAAATAAATAAATAAATAAATAAATATACTAATTATATAATAAAATATATAAATAATAATTATAATTATTATTCTTATATATATAGATGTACGTACACCTGATACAACAGGAACACCAGCAGCAACAGCAGCAGCAGCAGCAGCAGCAAAAGGAGACAATAAATTTACTGTCTCCTTTTATTTAATTTATTTACTGTTAATTGCACAAAAGGAGACAAAAGAAAAAAAAAAAACAATAAATAAATAAATAAATAAATATAACTATGTGTATTATGTATATTATAATAATACTACTACTAACAATAATAATAATTATAATAAATAATAATAAATACAAATAATAGTAACAATGAATAAATAAATAAATAAATTAAATAAATAAATAAATAAATAAATAATACTAATGGTGTCTCCTTTTTTATGAATAGACGGAAGAATTAAAGAAATAATTTTGTCTCTTCTTTTCTGCGGCGTCCCCTCTACAGGAGGAGACAGCAGCAGCAGCAGCAGCTGCTGCTGCTGCAGCAGCAGCAGCAAAAGGAAAAAGGAGACAGCTGCAGCAGCAGCAAAAGGAGACAGCAGCAACAGCAGCGAAAGGAGACAGCTAAACTGTCTGTCTCCTCCTTGCTGCTGCTGCTGCTGCTGCTGCTGCTGCGATACTCCAAAGGCAACAGAGAAGCAGCATCCTCCCTGCTGCTGTTGCTGTTGCTGCTGCCGTTGCTGCTGCCGTTGCTGCTGCTGCTGCTGTTGGCGGTAAGTGTTTAGGGTTTAGGGTTTTAATACATAAAGAAAAATTATTATTTATTATTTATTTGCTGCTGCTGCTGTAGATAAAGGAGACAGCAGCAGCAGCAGCACTGCTGCTGCTGCTGCTGCTGCTGCGGGAGGGCCTTCCTTCCTTCGGTGTCTCCTTTGTCTCCTCTTCTTCTTATCCACTGCTGCAGTGTATATATAATAATATATATACATTATATATGTATATATATAATATATATATTATACATATATGTACACGTAAATATTA